GTGTCCGTGGTGGGGTGACTGTCTGGGTGTCCGTGGTGGGGGTGACTGTCTGGGTGTCCGTGGTGGGGTGACTGTCTGGGTGTCCGTGGTGGGGGCGACTGTCTGGGTTTCCGTGGTGGGATGACTGTCTGGGTTTCTGTGGTGGGGGTGACTGTGGGTTTCCATGGTGGGTTGACTGACTGGGTTTCGGTAGTGGGATGATTGAGTTTCCGTGGTGGGGTGACTGGGTTTCTGTGCTGGGGGTGACTGTGGGTTTCCGTGGTGGGGGTGACTATCTGGGTTTCTGTGCTGGGGGTGACTGGGTTCCTGTGGTGGGGTGACTGGGTTTCTGTGGTGGGGTAACTGTCTAGACTCCCATGGTGGGGTGACTAGGTTTCCGTGGTGGGGTAACTGGAGGTGTGGTAGGGGTGAACATTATCCATGGTGGGGTGACTGAGCTTCCTTCCACTGATGCACTGTTTGTCATCTGCAGCGGACTCTGACAAGCGTCATGCCAGTGACTTTGCCCTGTGGAAGGCGGCCAAACCCCAGGAGGTGTTCTGGGCCTCTCCCTGGGGACCCGGGAGGCCGGGCTGGCACATCGAGTGCTCTGCCATCGCTAGGTAAGGTGCCTGCCGCTTCGTGGGGGTTGGGGCTCACGTTTCCCTGGTGCCTGCTCAGGGCAGCAGAGGATGTGCATGGGAACAGGTGCAGCCTGGCATGTGTGCCCACAGGTGGTTTTTTGGGAAGAGATTTTTCTGGAGTGTGACAGGCCATGGGAGGCGGTGAACCAGACCCATGACCCATCAAGCTTTCCTGACCTCAGCACCTTCTCCATTTAGTGGAGGGGCTGCTTTTTGGTTCACACTTGCAGCTGCCCTGTGCCCTTACCCTTCTCTGCAGTTGCTGGTCTTCGGGGCCCTGGAGCAGAGTGCTTGCACCTACATCCCCCCTCGCTTCGCACTTCTCTAGCCCCCAAATCCCTCTCCGCCTTCCCGCCAGCTCTTCTAGCTCAGGCAACTCACACGCCAGGGTGCTCTCCCACAGCACTGCTCTCCTGACCCACTGTGGCATCCCCTGCTCTGGAAACACCCTCTCTGTCCCTATTTCTGCCTCTCACTGGAGCCTTCTCCGCCTTCTCTCTGGTCCTTTTTGGATGCGCCTCAGGTGTCCACACCCTATGGCTCTGCCCGAAGCCAGGGGCCCCTTAGGTGGGGCCTGTGAAAGGCAGCATACCACCCGTGCCCTGTGTCACGCAGCTGCCCATGGGGCTTGCCACGGTTAGTTTTCTTTTTTTTTTTTTGAGATGGAGTTTCGCTCTTTTTGCCCAGGCTGGAGTGCAATGGCGCGATCTTAGCTCACCGCAACCTCCACCTCCCGGGTTCAAGTGAATCTTCTACCTCAGCCTCCTGAGTAGCTGGGATTACAGGCATGCGCCACCACCCTGGCTAATTTTGTATTTTTAGTAGAGATGGGGTTTCTCCATGTTGGTGAGGCTGGTCTTGAACTCTCGACCTCAGGTGATCTGCCCACCTCGGCCTCCCAAAGTGCTGGAATTACAGGCGTGAGCCACCGCACCTGGCACACAATTAGTTTGTTACTGTGGTGCTGGTTTGTCTGGCCTGACCCTCTGCAGGCATCAGGGTACCCGGCCGCGCATTTAGACTGTTCCCAGTGTTTCACTGTTACAGATCTGCCTAGTGAATAACTGCGCATATGTTTCCTATTTGTAGAAATGGGGTTGGTTTGTTTTGTTTTTCCATTATACTTTAACTTATAGGGTGCAGGTGCACAATGTGCAGGTTTGTCACATATGTATACATGTGCCATGTTGGTGTGCTGCACCCATTAACTCGTCATTTACGTTAGGTATATCTCCTAATGCTATCTCTCCCCACTCCCCTCACCCCATGACAGGCCCCGGTGTGTGATGTTCCCCACCCTGTGTCCAAGTGTTCTCATTGTTCAATTCCCACCTGTGAGTGAGAACACGCGGTGTTCAGTTTTTTGTCCTTGTGATAGTTTGCTGAGAATGATGGCTTCCAGGTTCATCCATGTCCCTACAAAGGACATGAACTCATCCTTTTTTTATGGCTGCATAGTATTCCATGGTGTATATGTGCCACATTTTCTTAATCCAGTCT